CTGGGGGGGAAGCGCCCCCTGCGCCGTCAGAGGCGGCGACAGTGGGGGAGGCACCCCGCACTAGCTGCGCCCCCCCTCTCCCCCGTTTGTAACTAGGGATCCGATGTAAGTCGGATTGATGTAACCTGGGGACTGCCTGTATAATGCCTACTTCCCTTTGGCTTTTGTATACAAGTATTTTTCAGACTTCCAAATAAGGTAGCATTGAGAGTTCTGGACCCCCTTTTTCCTCTTCCCCAAATCTCATGTTGTAAATTTTTGATTTCCATGTGAGCGGTCTCATTTGTACACTTGAGAGTAAATACACTTACACTAAAATTAGTGGGAAGTCAAAATAAAGCCTAAAGTTTATATTGGTTCTCCTTTATGTTAATGAAAAAGCAGCCTCATGAATTTACCTTGTTTAGAACACCTGAAATAAGGAACATAGCCACATAAATACCTCCTGCCATGATATGAAATTTGGGTCTAATAACGTAACAGAATTAAAAATATATAGTGACTAAGTTTGTTACAAATGTAGCTGGTACCATTTCTGGCAATTTGGCTAGTGAATCATCTCTCCCTTTCTCTTTGGCTTGTATCTTTCATGAGATAAATAGTGCAGATTTCACTACAGACATTAGATTTTCTATACCCTTTTGGAAAAATTGATTTGAAGGGCCATTTTGTAGCTAAGCATTAGGGCCCTGCATTTACCTGCATGACAGAAATAACTGCATTGACTGGACTTTTACACTGTTGCTTGTTCTATTTCTTAGGGTTATGCGGGCAGCTGAGGAGACAACATCAAACAATGTGTTTCCTTTCAAATTAGTTCATATTAGCAAGAAGCACAGGACCTGGTTTTTTTCTGCCTCCTCTGAAGATGAAAGAAAGGTGAATAACTTCCCATGACCCAAGAATATGTTTCACGAAATGCGGGGAGGGAAGAATATTTTTCCATAGGAATTTAGCATTTGGGTGCCAAATTCCCTTAATGTGATTTGACCACCTAACTCCTTGGCCTCATTTGAAAAGCCCAGCCCAAGTTCTCACTATTGTGCTAGCCAGACACTGGTACAACATCTCATGACTTCATGTCCTGATTTTTAGTTTAAGAAATAAACACTATAAAAGTTTTTATAAATATGGGAAATGACTTTGTGAAATCCTCGCTCATATATAAAATGGTAATATTAAATTACAGGTTGTACCTCCTGCACTCTCTAGTCTGGTGACATCAGTGGTCTGGCAGTACCATGGATGCTCCTGGACCAGAGAGCCCAGGAGCCTAAGGCCAGGGCATCAAGGTCAGCAGCCCAGTTGGAGGCAATGCAGGACTGGGCCAGAGTAGCCTCCAGCAGCCCCCAGAATCATGGGACTGGTGTCCCCACAGCAACCCCAAAATGGGGCTGGAGCCAGAGCCCCCATGGGCCTGAGGCTGGAGCTGCGTGAGGCTGGGGCTGGAGCCCTGATGCTTCCCCCCAGCTGCACAGGGCTGCATGGGACTGGGGCTAGAGCCCCACAGCTTCTTCCAGCTGCACAGGGTTGGGGTTGTACGGGGTTGGGGTTGCACAGGGCTGGGGCTGGAGCCCTGAAGCTTCCTCTGGCTGCACTGGGTTGGGGTTGTGCAGGGTTGGGGTTGTGCAGGGTTGGGGCTGTACAAGGATGCAGCTGGAGCCCCTTGGCTTCTCCCAGCTGCCCTGGCCAGGGCTGGGGCTGTGTGGGGCCAGGGCAGGAGCCCCAACCCTGCTGTTGGCCCCAGTTTATGTGGGGCTGGAGCCCCAGCCCCACTGCTGCTCCTAGCTGCATGGGACAGAGCCCTGCAAAAGGAGCCAAAATCTGTGCTGCCCAGGGAGGGCAGCAGTAGCTGGGCAAGCAGGCCAGCCAGGTTGTGGGGGAGGGCGGGGCGGGATTGCCTGGTGGACCAGCTGCCAGCAATGGGGGCCAGTGGCAAAAGACCTCCCCTGGTCTGGCAAATTCTCGTTTGGGACCGGTGAGATCCTGACAATGCCAGACCACAGAGGTCCAATCTGTTCCTGTCTTTCTAAGTCGGGGTGGGCAAAACGGCCTCAACAGGCTGGATCTGGCCCGCCAAGTGAGTTGATCCAACTGGTGGAGGCCCTGCCCCCCTTGCTCCCTGGGCAATCAGAACTTGGGGGCAGGGGGAGCATGTGTGAAGTCTCCTCCCACCCTGCAAGGGACTCAGCAGTTAAAGTCAACTTCCAGCTGCTGCTCAGCTGGCAGTTGATTATAGCGTGGTACTCCTTTGTAGGGTGGGGGACAGGAAACGAGAGACTTCATGTGCTCCCCCTCCCTAGGCTCTGATTGAACTGGGGGCAGCAGGGGGAGCACAAGAAATCTCCTTCCACCACCAGGGGCACAGATACCTAGAGGGAATCACCAGCTGTTCAGAACAGCTGATGGTTCTCTCTGTGGGTGGGCAGGGGGAGACTTTGCGTGCTTCCCCACTCCAAGACCAATCAGGGTCAGTGGATAAGGAAGCAGAGAAGTGTCCTAGTCCCGCCCCTTCTACCTGAGGCCCCGCCCCTTCAGGGGCAGCCTGGGGCCACTTCAGAAATTTCTGAAGTGGCCCCTGTCAAAAAGTATTGCCCGCTCCTGTTCTAAGTATCAGTTTGAGATCTGTAGACCAGAAGTTCAATGAGTGGTAAGCAACATTTAAAGACTGCTATAATATATGTTCAAAGCACATGTGAATTAACAAACCCTCACAACACCCTTGTGAGTGAATAAATGTTACTATGCAGTTAATCCATAATTGCTAGCACCATCATCTCTTCAAAGGGCAGACATGTTGTACAGTAAAACTCCAGTGGTCCAGCATCCAGTAGTCTGGCACTCCTGATGGTCCAGCACCATCTGGAACCCAGAAGTGCTCTGGGCAGCCGGACAATTGGAGCTGCTCTGCCCCCGGCTTCCCTGATTCAGCTGCTGGTCAGTTTTAGCAGCGGCTGAATCGGGGAAGCCGGGGGCCGAGCAGCTCCAATGGGCCGGCTAACTCTGCCCCGGGCTTCCCGTAGTCAGCCGCTGGTCAGTTTCAGCAGTGGCTGACTTGGGGACACCTGGGACAGAGCAGCTGGGGTGCTGCTGGGTTGGTCCCGCAGCGCTGAGGGGCGCATCCCCCCCCCCCACTCCACCCCAGATCCCTCATAGCCCTCCCTTCCTATAGTCTGGAATATCTGATAATCTGGCACCCCCTGGGTCCTAAAGGTGCCGGATTATCAGAAGTTTACTGTAAGTGCTTTACAAAAAACAATAGAGTAAGTTGTTATATTTACTTCTTTTAGAACTGGATGGCTTCACTGAGGCGTGAAATAGATCACTACCATGACAAGAAGGAAACAGTAACAGATTTAAGGTATGCATCTGCTAATTCTAGAGTCTTTCATAATTCTTACACTTTTATCCAAAAATCTGTAGTGACTCTAGGAAAAGCTGTTTGTTCAAGCAGGCAACTTATTTTAATTAGTAATTTCTGCATCTAGTGTCTAAAACCCATTGAGGGGATTTAGACTAAGTGCTTAAATATCTTTTAAAAATGAGATTCGGGCTCCTAAATTAGTTGGTGGTGTGATGCTGAGTATAGCAACACCTAAGAAGTACCTTTAAAAATCTGGGCCCATTCTTTGCACCTGATGACAAAATATTCTTTTTTGTTCTACTACCGTTAAATAATAGCAAATGCAGTTATTCCTAACTACATAAATTAAGAGACATCACAACAAAAAATAAATCTTTTCTTTAAGAGAACTTAAAATGTCAACTTTATAAAATGAGAACTATTTATCTGGCTATTAAATGAAAAATTAGTCTAGATCAGTTTTTCTGCTGCTTTCAATTTTCTCATACCAGCATTTGCTAATATGCTGTTAAACTGTATGTATATCTAATGTTAGATCCACTTATGGCAACGATGCATCTCTTACTATAAAATCCTTTTCCTTTTCTTTGTGTAGTGACTCTGGTTCTGACGCAGACAGTTTCTATGGCTCAGTAGAACGCCCTATAAATATCAATTACTCTCATTCAACGGAAAATGAAGGTGAGACTTCAATCTTGAATGTTTTCCTCCTAATCCCCATCAATAAATGAGACTTTTTGATCACTCCTGCCTCTTCAAAACCACTCTAAGTTTGCAGCACGTTTACTCGCTTTAAAAAAATGCAAATACCTTATATTTCATAAGAATGCTTGGCCTAGTAATACAGTAGAAAATTATTAATGCCTGTGAGAACATAACCATAGATGCCAAATTACAATTATTGTAAAATAAGTGACCCTTGGGGTCAGATCCTGAGATGCTCAGCAGCTTAGACCTCCGGTTGTGTTCCGAGTGATTATCAATTTAATGTCAGAAAGTTGTTCTCTTAGTCTGATAGAGACTGGGATTGGTCCTGTCTTGGACAGGGGGCTGGACTTGAAGGCCTTCTAAGGTCTCTTCTAGCTCTATGATTCTATGACAGAAAGGTGAAGATACTTTTTTTTTACCATTCAGCTGTGTGTCTGTCCTATAGGTGAATGCTCAATTATTTTTGTTAAAGTTCTCCAGCCTGTGTTTGCAGGTGTTGAACTGCAGTATAGACTTTATAGCCCTAATGATTTGCAGGCTTATGATCCTCTTGTATGTTCTCACTATACTCCCTAGGCCTAGAGGCTTGCCTTGCCTTCCAATTTGGTGTCTGCCCTTGCTATATTTAGCTCACAAAAAGTAATTTAATATGGAATATATTTGGGTTTTAACTGGAAGTGTGGGCACAGCTAAAATGATACTAGAGATGTCCTAGGGACTGATTTCCTAGCCAAAAAACATGTTAGGAAAGGACCCTCCAGCCTCCATAATCAGCCTTGTCATGATTCATTTTGGTCCCACTTTAGCATTTTTCCTTTTACTTTTCCCCATATCATCCTGGGATAGCACACTCGGCCCTGGTCTACACAAGGAGAATTATTTTCAAGTAACGCCCTAAGGTCCAATTTATAAGTGGGGCGTCCACACTACCAAGCCCATTATTTCAAAATAAGGGGCCTCTTATTTCAATATCTGTACTCCTGCTTTCCCCGGTGAATAACACTAATTTCAAAATATGCTATTTTGAAACAAAGTTACTGTGGACACTCTGGTGCCGCTATTTCGAAATAATTAGTCCCCAAAGAAATTCGAACTAATTACTCCCCATTGCTTTCTAGGGCTCTAACTCGAGGTAGCACGTCTACATTAATGGAGCCTGCCTTGGACTACTTTTGAGGCTTCACCGTAGTGGGGACTTGCTATTTTGATTTTGTAAAATTGGGAGGCAAGTCAAATTTAGTTATTTCAGAATAATTTCCTAGTGTAGACATTCCCTGGAGGTGCTGCAGCAGGAGCACACCATCACAGAGGAGGAAGGGAGTGCTCCTGTTACACCAGCAGACTGATCACTGATTTAGGAAAAAGAGTGAGACTTCAAAAGGAGTCTGTCCAGCTTCCTTCAATCCTTGTAAAGCAGGGGGAAATACAGTTGTCATGGCTTTGAATAAGGATGTGGTATCTCCCACCTACATGTATGCTTCCTCTGAAAGGAGTCTGCAAGGAATTTGAGATATTGAAGTTTAATATTTTAATTTACAGTTAGTTTGATAATACCAGTTTGTATCTGTCTTTCTCGCTGTCTCTACTACACACATTTCTCCAGTTAAACACAATGAATATATTCATCTTCTGTCTCTTGACATAATTGTTTCCAACCACAGGCTATCTTCATCTTACGTGGTCCCACGTAGGACTTGAGGCAAATTCCTAAACCATTCAAGCTGCACAATTAGTAGCAAGTTTCTGTTTCCAGAGCCAGATGGTTAATGTAATCTGTTGTAAATCACTGAACTTGTTTCTTGACTCATTTATACAATTTAAACTTCTTTTTTATTGAATACTAAGTTCTAGTGATCTGTAATATGGCAATGTTACAGTGTCTTGTTCTTTCTGCAGCTGATTTCTGTTTACCTGGAACAGATCCCAGCTCTAGAATGTACCTTACTTTCTCAGGTGTCATAGATTGTCCTAAAGTGGGATACGTAATATTTTTGCTCTTCCAATGTCACCAATGCTTAGAGATTTTCTTGGTTCGTAGTCTTCATTCTTGCTCATTCCATTTAGGGTCAGGGATTTCTGTCTCCAGTCAGTTGATGACAGAATATAAAGCCCTACAAAGTGCTGACTCTGTAGTTGCTCCAGGGCTGGAGCACTCACAGAAAAATAGAGGGTGCTCAGTATTCACCAGCCACCCACGAAGTAACTGTTCAGTGGGTCCCTCCAATGTTCTCTGTAAGCTGGGTATTGCTCGAGAGAAATTCAAACCCTGCCCAGCTGATTGCCAGAACGCCCACAGCTCGGTTTTTGTTTCTATTGGTGGTGCACATGCCTCTGTACACATAAAAAATATTCTGCATATGGATGGAAAAGATTAGAGGGAACATTGGGTCTTACCAGTTAGCTTCTTCCCCCTCCCTCCCAGTGCCTCCTACCCATGTGCTTATGATAAGCTGTCTAGTGGCAGGTAGGAGGCAAGGGCAAGGAACAGAGGTGGCAAGAAACAGGGCAATGGCAGAGCACGCTTAGGAGAGGGAGTGAAGGCAGAGCCTCGGGGAAAGAGAAGGGAGGTGGCAGAGTGGGGCTCGAGCACTCTCAGAGAAAGCTGAAAGTTGACACCCATGGAATCCCATATCCTGAGCAGAAATAGCTAACATGACTTCATCTTCTCTCTTGTATTTTCTCATGTAATGGAACCAGATTTTCATTTATAAAAAAACTATACATATTTTATGAGTGAATCCCACTGGGTATTTTTCAGTGTTAAACACATACATTTTTGTATGCAGATTATGAACAGGAAGACGATGAAGAATCTTACTTACAGCCAGATTCTACAGATTTTGGGAGGCCAGATGGTAAGAGGATATTTACCTGTCATAATACCTTTTCAAAATCTCAGATAAAGGCGACAGTCATGTGAAATATAAAAACATCTAGAGGCAGATGTTTTCACTCGATATTGCTTGAAGCCCTATAGGTAGTTGCAACAATTACAAAGTATTGCTTAAGTGGGCCTTATCCTGAGAGGTACTCAATGTCTAACCTTCCAGTGAAACTAGTGATAGTTGAGGAAGCCACAAATATTAGAGAAAATGCTGTGTACCCTAAAAGATTGTGCATTTAGACATTATCAGACAGCTGAATATTGGAAGGTCTTGCTGCTAGTCCATAGGTCTGTCAGAAGAATGGATGATTCTTTTCAACACAGTTTTGGACTTCCTTCCATCCTTACATAGGCTGTACAACCAATGAAGTTAATGTGACTTACACCTGAGTAAGAACTGCAGGGTGTGGCCCATAGTAAAGCCTAGAATTTTGTTTCGAAGTTAAGTGTCCGTCTAACATGGAGACACCATGATGCTAGGTGCCCTAATATAGCCTAAATCAAATAGAAACTTCACTCCAAACAAAAGGAGAGTAGAATCTTATTTTCATTTTTTAAATTTAATTCCTATGTTTTCTGGGCTTTTCTTACACAGACAATATGATCCTCCCACCAGCCTACCCACCACCTCCAGTCCCTCCCATCAGGAAAATGGCTTATTTAGAGACAAGGCCACGCTCCTTCACAGGCCAGCCTACTGGGCCTATACTTCCTCCACCACCTCCTAAAAGAAGCTTACCTGATATAAAACAAGAGGACCTCTTCAATACAAGGGGAGAATCCCAGGTTCACTGCAGAGCCGAGTCAAATTCAAAAATACAGTCATCAAGTCGTAGAATAAATGATCTACCGCCACCGGTGCCCCCTATGCCTCATCTGAAAAAGCCTGCCTGCATCAAAGAAAGCTGTTTGCCATCAGCAGAGATTCGACCTCTAGCCCATATACTAACTGCCAGTGAAGGATGTGAGAGGCTAAAACAATTGAACCTTTCTCCACGGCCCCCGCCTCCATTACCAAGCTACAAACCCAAGCTGTCGGAATTAACTGAGAAGCCAGTGGAGGCCAGAGCACCAAAACAATATGGTAAACCTGGACTGTTCGTGCCACAAGTGCTGCCTAAACCACCTGTACCTGTTTCCAAATCTATACCAGAGAAATCTTTGCTTCCTCAATTACAGTAAGTATGAAAACAGATGGTAGTAGCATGATCCAACTTTCTGTAGTATGTTTGCCAAATTTACCAAATGATATCTCTGATACTTAGCTCATCAGGTCCAAGTCAGCATTCTGCCCCCCCTTCTGCCCCCAAGCTTTGCAGTGAAATTACTGCACATTTTTGTCATGTTCAACGGTGACTGTAAATAAACCAGTTTTTGGTTTTGGTCTTGTACATGAACTTGATATGATACTTGTCAAGGGGATATAGAATGGATTCAGTTTGGATGATTCTAGATGGATGAAGAAGACTGGGGTGTAAATGCGTATTTTGCCTACACTCCCCTAAAATGAGTAATGGTGACCAGATGTTCAGTGCAATCAATATTAAGAACAAGGGGGGAGAAATGCAAACCAATATAGGGAAAGTTGTCAGGGCCTTGCAAAATTTACCCTAGGGAATTTAGGGTACTAGCTGATGCCCTTTTGGAACTGTTAGCAATTTTCTTTGAAAACTTGTGAAGGATAGATAAGGTCCCAGATGACTAGAGGAGGGCAAACACATTACCTATTGTTAAAGAGGGGAGCAAAGAAGATCCTGGGAATTATAAACTAATAGTCAGCCTTACTTTGATTCCTGGAAAGACACTGAGACAAATTATTATACAATCATTTTGTAAGTATCTGGAGGATAGATAATAGGTATATTAGGAATAGCTTGTATGGATTTGTCAAGAGCAGATTAAGTCACTCACTGGCCTAGGGAGTGGTGAGGGAAACAATAGATGTGATGTATCTTGATTTTAGTAAGGCATTTGGCATAGTTTCCACCTCTCCTCCCACCCAACATAAGGTAAACAGAGAAATACAATCAAGATTAGTGGTTTTCAACCTCTGGTCCACAGACTCCTGTGGATCCATAGATTATCTTTCTAAATCTCAATTTGAAATTTTTTAGGGATCTGCAATTGAAAAAAAAGGTTGAAAATCACTGATACAAATGAAATTACTATAAGGTGGGTGCAGTTCTGGTTGATAGACTGTATCCAGAGTTTGCTGACAATTTGGGTGGGTGTATCTTTTCCACCGAGATCAGTCCTGGGTCATTTTCATTAATGACTTGGATAAAGGAGTGGAAAAAATGCTTACAAAATGTACAGACAACGCCAGCCTGAAGGGGATTGGAAGCCCTTTGAAAGACAGAATTCAAAATGACTCCAACTAATCAAGGTCAATCTGAAATCAGCAGGACAAAGTAAGTGAAGACAAGTGCAAAATATTTCAGTTAGGAATGAAAAATAAAATACATGACTACAAAATGGGAATAACTGACTAGCTAGTAGTACTGAAAAGGATCTGGGGTAATAGCGGATTACGAATTGTATGCAAGTCAACAATGTGATGGAGTTGCAATAAAGATGTAATATACTGAGATCTGTTAACAGGAGTATTGCATGTAAGACACAGGAGGTAAATATCCCATTCTGCTTGGCACTGATGTAGTAACTGAGGTACTGTGTCCAGATCTGGGCGCCATATTTTAAAAAAAGGATGTGGATAAATTGAAAGAGTCCAGAGGATAGCGACAAAATTGATAAAATGGTTTAGAAAGCATAACTTATGATAGAAAAGGTTCATTTAAAAAAAAAAGTGGACTTGTTAGTCTTGAGAAAAGACAACTATCTAAAAAGTATTCAGATACAATAGGGCCATTATAAGGAGGACAGTGATCAATTGTTCTCCGTGTCCATGAAGGAAGACCAAAAGTTAATGTCCAGTAAGAGACATTTTTGGATAGAGACTAGGAAAATTTTTCCAAAAAGGGTAGTTAAGATCTGGAATAGGCTTTCAGGTGAGTTTGTAGAATTCCTCCATCTTTGGAAGTTTTTACAAATAAACATGTCAGCAATGGTCTAATGGTTTACTTTGTCTGCTTCGGTACAGGGGGCTGAACTTGATAACTTTTCAAGGTCCATTCCAGCCCCATATTTATATGATTCCATGTTTAAAAATTGCTGCATGAAAAAATCTGTCTGGAAGTTTTGTGGTATTTCCCTACCGTCTTCAGAGTATGAATGTGTCTGCTATTCCTTATGAGGCATTATATAGTCATTGATGATGTCTGTGTAATCTTAACTGTCCAGCATTTGAAAACTTTGCAACAAATTGTGACTCTTGGAAATATTTAAGGAATAAATATTAGACAACATAAAATAAAGCACTAAAGAACCAAAAGTATGTCTTGTCTGTATGGGGTTCTGTTGAAAAGGTACAATAGAGCCTTAGACTGTAGTTTGTAAAAAAAAGCCTTTACAACAGGATTTCACCATGAACTGAAAAAATAGCTTTAGGCTCCTAAAGCACATTATTACATGCAGGCTCATACACAGAATAAAATGCATGCTTTAGTATAAGTACATTCCTTAGTCAAGGACATGGGGTATATCTGCAAAAATGTTCTTAGAGATGAAAGCCTCAATGCCCATTACATTGCTCAGTAGTTTTGAAATAAATATAAAAACTGTTAAATGCCAAATATGTAACTAACAGAAACTCACATCTGGTAGTGCTTTTATTGTTTCAATACTTTTTCTGCAGAAATGTTCTTCAGTTTTGTTCTTTCTTCCAGGAGATCTCCACCAGATGGGCAAAGTTTCCGGGGCTTCTCTTTTGAGAAACCAGCATTACCTTCAAAGCAAAACAAGTCTGATGAAGATTCTGATGAAGATTATGAAAAAGTAAGATCATATAGCATATTACTGAAGAGAACACTTCTGAGTTTCAGGGGGTTGTAAATTTTGGGCTGAGTCAAGTATATAAGTTAAGAAGGAATCTGTAGAATTAGTAACAGCACTTCACTTACACATACTGCTCCACTGCACTGTCCAGCTTTGAGAGAGATGGTAATGTATTTTGGTTCTAATGTCAGATGCACAAGTATGTATTAGCAATTTTGAAGGAACACATGCAGGGGTTGGCAACCCTTCCGAACTAAAGAGCCAAACTACATCAAAATTCAGAACAAGTGGTCAACAAAGAGCCATATAAGAATGCCCATTCGCATGACTGAAAATATACAACTTAATATTATTGATAATAGCATAAATGAAACCTTGTACTCACAGACTTTATTTAATGGGACTTCTGCTGCTGCATTTTTTTTGCATTTCTTTGATGTTAACATCATAACTGGTCAAATCCAGCTTCATGCATGCATTCAGGCTGTCTTCTGTCAATCTTATGGCAGGGGGATGGAGATATGGGGGTGCAGGAATTTGGGTTGGGATATATTAGGGGCTTAGGGTAGGGGATTTGGGTGTATGATTGGCTCAGGGCACAGGGTTGTGGGGGTACAGCAATGTTATAGCAGGAGCCTGGGAGTATGGGATATGAGAGTCTCCAGGCAGGGACTTCAGGTGTATATGGATTCAGGGTTAGTGTGTGGGAGGGATGCAGGAGTGTTATGACACTGAGGCCCAGTATGGGCTGGGCCCCAATTGGGGGCTTGTTGGCCAGCCTTCATTTTTAAATAAAGTAAAATATTATGTCCAACAAAAAAGGTTTCAAAATTGTCTTTATGGCAGAAGTGGGGAACCTTTTTTGGGTCAGGGGCCATTGAGTTTGGGTGAAGAGGCATTTGTGATGCAAGGCATGGGACTGGGGTGCCGAAGTTTGTATTGTTATCTAAGGTAGGAAGGGGTTGTGACCTATGTCAGGAGATTGGAGTGCAGGAAGAAGTACCAGGGTTTGGATTGTGATCTAGGGCGGGGTAATGGGGTGAGGAAGGGATGCCGGGGTTTGGATTGTGACCTAGGGCAGGAGGGGACTGTGATCTGGGGCAGAGAATTGGGGTGCAGGGTCTGGGCGGAGGTATGGGCTCAGGAGGGCGGCAGAAGGTTTGGGTTATGTGGCTTGGGGGGAGGGGCTGGAGTACTAGAAGCAGACTGTTTTGCCGAGGCCTGCTGTAGTGCCAGCGCGGTCTCCCTGCTATGGGGGCAGCAAGGGGGGTGGGCTTCAGCTTCAAAAGAGCCATATCTTGCTCGCGTGCCATAGGTTGCTAACCCCTGCTCTAGAGAATAAAAATGTAGTAACAAAGTCAGGAGGTCGTGGGTATAATTTACTTATACAAAATACTTGTACTGTAAAAATTACCTAGAAAGTCTGGGCCTGAGTTTAGAGACTCCTAGAGAGCTGTAATATGCCAATTCACCTTGTAGTTATTTCAGTCTTCTTTTTAAAATATTAATCTCATAATTGCTGTTTACCTTCCTTAATGCATTTTTTTTTTTTTAATTATTGTCTTAACAGGTTGAGCTGCCTAATTCAATATTTGTCCAGACCTATGAATCCACTGAAGTAGAAAGGTAAGATTAACTTTTTTTTTGAGAGTTGCTTATAAATCCTCAAATGAAATGACATCTTGTCTAGAAAGCCATGTTCTGAGAGTTAAGACTAATAAATCAAACTGAGATTTCAACTGAATTCATGAATCAGTTTACCATTTGTTTGTGTATGTATATTACAAATCTTTTAAGATGAAAACCAGTGGATTTAGGAAAACTAATTAAGTATTTACAGTATTGACTATAAATTAATAATTCAAACATTTATACCACTATTTGACATCATATCTGGATTTCCCTGCTGTGACAATGAATTGTATAGGTTTGGCATAGAGTTTGCTAGAACTTTTAAACTGTAGGTAACTGATTCAAATTCAGCCCAGATTTATAGTGTCTAAAAGACATTACATGACTTAAACTCCAGTCATCTGAAGAAGTGGGCTGTGCCCACAAAAGCTCATGATACCATCTACATATTTTGTTAGTCTATAAAGTGTTACCAGACCATTTGTTGTTTTTCAAGTTTGACTGATATTAAATGAATTTAATGGTCTTAGTTCAGTTCTCAGTGGATAAGTGTCGTCAACAACTGCTACCATAAGCTTGTTCTCAGTCCTCAGCAGACTCCAAAGTTTGTGGAGACTGAATTGTTCCCTCATACTCTGACAGTGATCCGTCAAAGTAAAAGCTGGGTAATTTGGGGATGAGGGGAAGGTTTGAGAAAATTGCACTGCTACTATTTGTTCTCTATTATTTATTTATGGTACTATTCAATATATGCTAATTAGTTTAGAAAAGCTCAGGAACTTGATCCAAGATGCTCTAAGAAGCCAATAATCTAGAGGCAGAGAGGTAGGGAAAAATAGGCAATTTCACTTGCATTCAGGGACAATGATTTGTTTGGGCTCCAGAATATTTTTGGCCCAAAGTCCTAGCCCTAGCAAAATTTGGGGCTGGGTCTCTGCCCTCGTTCACCTCCCATGGTGCATCCCCTGGCCCTGCCTGCTGTCCCTGGGTAATTTTAAAAGGGCCTGCACATCTCCTCCTCTACCCCATAAGTGCAGTGCACCTGAAGTACTTGTTTGCTCCATGTGCAGCTGCTGGCACATCCTTGCAGCTCCTGGGCAAGGATGTATCGGTGTGTCTGCATGCTGTGCCTGCCATGAGCTGTCCTGTGGTCATTGGGAGCTGCAGGGATGGTGCTTGCTGGCAGCACATGGAGACCCCTTGGCACTCCCACCTATGAGCTGCTGCCAGAGAGTAGTGTCCCAGGTAAGCCCCACACCCCCTCCAACCTTCCTCCCTGAGCATGCATCCCTCCTTGAGTATGCATCCCTTCCCCCCACATCTCTCCCACTTCCCCTCCCCCCCATATTCCATCCCAGAGACTACACACCACACACTCTCCTGCACCCAAACTCCCTCTTAGAGCCTGCACCCCTTTCTGCACTCAGTTTGCTTTCCCAGCTCAGAACCTGCATCCAGCTCCCAAACTCTGTCCCAGAGCCTGCACTCTAGACTCCCTCCCAGAACTTGCACCCCTCCCCCACCTAAACTCCCCCCCAGAGCTTTAGGTGGATGTGGGAGTTGCATTCTAGGTACTACCAAATTTCTACAAATCTGCCATCCCTGCTTGCATGTAACTTGATTCACTGGTCTGCAGAGAAATAGAGAGACCTTTATGCTTCAGTGCTACCACTCAGAACTTTTATTGAGCACAGAATCCACAAGAAAATAATTTTAAAGTCTGAAGTATTATGCAAAGATTAATTAACTGAAATCTTCACACTATCCATCTTAGTAGGGAAATTCTGCTTTGATTTCCCAATCTGTGAGTTAGTGATGTTTTGAAGCTCACACAGCAAGTTGGGTAGAGATCCACAGTTGCTTTTTTTTCCAGCCTATGCAAAACCCACTAAGACAGTAGGTCCCAACCTCTGGTCCGCGGACTAGTGCTGAGCCACAAACTGCTGGCTGCCAGGCCAATGCACGCTGCCAGGCTATGCCCACTTGGCAAGGTTCCCTGTAATCTGCATGGCCATGCAGCTGCTAATTTAGCCCCTGCAGAGAACTTCATGGCTGGGGAGAGGCACTCCCTCAGCAGTAGAAGCTCCCTGCTCCAAGTCCATAGAAGAGCATGCTAGTAGGGAAGGGAACATCGAGAGCAGTGGCGGATATAGGGCAGGGCGAGCGGGGCGGCTGCCCCGGTCCCCGTGCTCCAGTAGGCCCCGCGCCGGGCTGAAACGGCCACTTACTCCAGCGTAGCCCAAACAGCGGTTTGCACCGGCGCCGCTTGCTCCCGCGTGACGTCACGGCTGCACAGCACAGAACGCAGCTGAGGGCCTGGCAGAGGCAAACCGCATGATAGAAGCTCCAGGTCCTGCCCCCTAGCCACGTAAGTCACTGCCCCGCCCCCTTCGCCTCCCGCCCTGGCACTCGGCTCTGCACTGCTCAGCCGGTGCAAACCGCCATTTGGGCTCTGTCAGTGGAGGAGGAGAAGAAGAAAAGAGAGAGTGAGGCAGAAGGAGAAGAAGAAAGGAGAGAGTGAGGCAGAAGAGGAGAAAAGGAGAATGAGGCAGGAGGAGGAGAAGAGAAAAGGAGAGTGAGGCAGGAGGATAAGAAGAAGAGAGAGTGTGAGGCAGAAGAGGAGAAAAGGAGAGTGAGGCAGGAGGAGAAGAGAAAGATAGAGAGAGGCAGGAGGAGGAGAGAAACCTGAAAAGCGCTATTGGCTAGTTTTTTTAATAATGAACATTTAACATTGATATGTGAAACGTGTAATGAAGTAATATGAATACGCAACGGGTGACAAATTGAAACTGATTTGCACATACACTACTACCAGTTGGTTGTGTTTGTGGCGCATGCCCCATGTCACTCACTCCATTTTTTACAGATAAATAAAAATTTTATAAGTGTAAATTTGCCAACAACCCCAAATTATAAAATGACTAGCTGAGCGAGAGATGCAGGTAGAAAATATTTGTCAGGAAGCCAAAAATTAAAGAAGAAAAGAAAACTTGAAGAATGTAATCTCAGTCTAAAAGGTACTATGGGTTGTGTTCGTGGCGCATGCCCCATGTCACTCACTCCATTTTTTTTTTTTTTACAGATAAATACAAATTTTATAAGTGTACATTTGCCAACAACCCCAACTTATAAAATGACTAGCAGAGCGAGAGATGCAGGTTGAAAATATTTGTCAGGAAGCCAAAAATTAAAGAAGAAAAGAAAACTTGAAGAATGTGATCTCAATCTAAAAGGTACTATGGAAAAATTTGTTCAAAAGACAAAAAAATGAGATGAAGAACCACAACAGTCCCAATCATCGTCACTGTCATCACATTCAGATCCAGTAGAAGTAGATTCTGTGGAATTATCCACATTTACTCCAACTTCAATTGCGACAACAGAATCATAATCTGCCATTAACATCAACGTTCACTTCGTCTTCAATGGCACCAGATCTGCCAGATGACCCATTAACTGCAATAACATCAAGGTTATTAGACAAACTAAAGCAAAATCATCCGCCTTTTTTAGAAGAATCCGCAATAGCTGAAGTCAACATTAGTAGCAAAGATCTTGCCGAAATTGATTCCAAGTATTCAGAAGAGCTTTCATCAGAAGAAGATAATGGTGAGTTAGAATGTGCCCCGAAAAGTAGCTTAACCGACCCTGCAAAATGGCCAACTATTCTAACAGATAAAGTCAGGTTGTTTATTGCTGAGCAAGGACCCGCACAAATAAAAAGTTTTAAATTTCCTAGAGATGAACAAAACAGATCTTTTTCAGCAAATCAATACTCCAGATTATTAAACAATGGAGAAATGATGGAAAGAAGGTGGTTGGTTTATTCTTTACTTCAAGATACTGAGTACTGCTTTAGCTGCAAATTGTTTGCACCAATTCCAATTGCCCTTGTGACTGGCGGTTTCAGTGACTGGAAACATTTGGCTGAAAGATTAAAAGAGCATGAAAATTTACAGAATCATCGTGAAGGAATGATTAAATGGACAAAAACGTTTGAAGAATAAAGTAACTATCGATAAGATGACGCAAAGCATGATAGAAAAAGAGAAACAAAGACTTGTTGCAGTTTTCAAATGTATAGTTGAAATAATTATATTTATGGCGAGTCGAAATTTATCATTCAGAGGAAAAACTGAAAAACTTTTTCAATCCCATAATGGAAATTTTTTGGGAATAATTGAATTATTAGCTAAATTCGACCCAGTGATGGCAGAACATGTATACCATTTTACAGAAAAGGATACTCGAAACCATTTTTTGAGTCACTTAATTCAAAATGAATTAATTATATCAATATCTGAAAAAGTTACGAAACGCATAATTGATGAAGTAAAATGGGCAAAATATTATTCGATAATATTAGATTGTACTCCTGACATCAGTCACCAAGAACAATTATCGATGATACTCCGATTTGTGAATATAGAAAATCAAGATTTTAAAATAGATGAAAAGTTTATCAATTTTTTAGTTGTTGATGATACAACAGGAAGAGGGTTAGCAGAAAGGTTAAAAAATGAACTCCAAGATCTAGGATTAGATTTAAAGGACTGTCGAGGACAAGTTTATGACAACGGGGCTAATATGAAGGGTAAAAATGTAGGAGTGCAGGCTTTAATTTTATAAGAAAATCGAAGAGCCTTCTATGTATCCTGTGCTTGTCACAATTTGAATTTAGTGTTGGGAGATATTGCAAAATCGTCCACGCAAGCGGTGACGTTTTTCAGGATAATACAAAGGATTTACACAATTTTTGCAGTGTCAACAGCAAGATGGGATGTATTTAAAAGACATGCTCCTCTACTTTCACCAAAACTACTTTCGGAAACTAGATGGGAGTGCCGAATTGAAAGCGTTAAAGCAATTCGATTTCAAACAACTTGATTAGACAATGCTTTAAGTGCACTTTTAAATACGGTAATGGATCACAAACTTAAATGTGAAGTACTTGCTGTCAGAAAGCATCTAAGAACATATGAATTTTTAACCAGCCTTGTTATTTGGTATGATGTATTACTTAAAGTAAATACTACCAGCAAAATTCTGCAGAAAACAAATATAGAAATGGATATTGCTTTTTAAATCATTTAAAGTATCTTGTTTCATATTTGGGGGAATACAGATCTTCAGGATTCCAAAGTGCATTAACTACAGCCAAAGAGATGTGTGATGAATTGAACATCAATCCAATATTTCAGGAAAAACATCTAACAAATAAAACGAATATGTTTTCATATGAGGGAAATGACAAACCTATTGAAAACACAGAGGAATCATACCGAATAAACTACTTTTTGATAATTGTTGATTCTGCTCTTGTTTCTATGAAGAAACGATTCGAGTTGTACGAAAATCACAAAAACATATTTGGTTTTCTACCTGATATGAAAAGCGTCAAAGGAATGGATAAGGACACACTAAAAAAACATTGTATGGATCTTCATGTCAATCTACAAGATGGTGACTCCTGTGACATTGAAGGTTTAGATCTTTACGAAGAGTTGCAGAACTTTTGTAGAATTATTCCAGACAGTTGTATTACAGTTCATGATTGTTTGAAAATAATTTGTTCAAACAATATGGAAGACATATATCCTAATATCTATATCACTCTTAGGATACTTCTAACTAGTCCAATGACAGTAGCTTCGGCAGAGAGAAGTTTCTCTAAATTGAAACTAATAAAGAATTACTTAAGATCTACTATGAGCCAGGAGCGTTTTGTAGGTCTTTCGATTATATCGATTAAAAACGACCTGTGTAAAGAAATGGACTTTAAGGACATAATTGAAGAATGCGCTGCCAAAAGAGCTAGACAGTTATAATAGACTTAAATACAAATGAAAATGTTTAATTATTAATGCAGAATTTTGTTTAAGAATGACTTACAATATAATTAAAATAAAAAAATTTTCCAACTAAATTAAATTCTATCGAATTTACCCAATTCACATTTAATATGAAAATAGCCGTCAATTTGCGCATTTGACACCTTTTTTCTATTTTTTCTCTAAAGGGGGGCCCTGCGAAATTGTTCTGCCCTGGGCCCTGCAAAACTCTCATCCGCCCCTGATCAAGAGGGAGGGAGGAAGTAAGGACATAGCTGGATAGGCGCTCTCTTCCCTCTCTCCAGCAGCAGCCTTATGTTTTGTTGGGATGCTTTAAAAAAAGGCCTCAGCAGCCAGCCAGGCAGCCCTCTGTTCCCTGCCTTCTTTCCCTTCCCTTTCTCCAGCGGCAGCCTCATGTTTCGTTGGGCTGCTTTAATAACATATTTTGGATAGCCAGTGATGTGTTATGTATGGTTTTTTTCAAGGTGGAAAGCAAATAGTTTGGGGAGGAACAATAATATCTGTTACAATTAAAAGTGTGTGCATACAGATGCAATGTAAAATAACACGACAGCTTAAAATTAATTAATGCCAATTAATTATGCCAATCAATTACAATAATAAGTATGTAAATGTTTCTATGCTCGTCCACCAAACATTTTTGAATGAGTTTGCCGGTCCGCAGTTTAAAAAAAAAAAAAAAAAGTGGGAACCACTTCACTAAGACATCACTACCTCCTTATATGAGGGGACCTTAAGGAGCTGCTTAGGGACCCTAATCTTCCTCAAATGTCCATTACCATTTGTCTATGAAACTGGTTTTCCAGTCTTTACTCAATTCTTAGGCTAAATCCTTACAGTAACTGAAATGAAGTATTTTCTATCCTAAATCTGTGATGTTTGTTAGTATTTCCTGTGATATTTACAGTTTCCATATCATTTTTAGGATGTTCAAAGCTATCAATCCAAGAGGACATCCACAAAATGGATTATATTGCATTAGGAATTCATCTACCAAGCCTGGAAAGGTAACTCACAATACGGGAACCTGTGCTTTAAGTTAATTAAATGAAACTCCAATTAATCATTACTTGCAAATTAGCAATATTGGAATTCAATTACAGTAATGTGTTCGCAATTGAGAGATGCTCTTTTTTTAAGAGGGAAGTCTGAAGGAAAAGCTGTACATCCTAACTTGCATAATGCACACTGTTCAGCTATTTAAAAGAAATGTAACTGATTACTCAAAAAGGGTAGTTTTGAATTTTTTCTTCATAAATTGGTTAGGAAGTCTTTTTTTTTTTCTGCATACTGAATATAATGTTGCTTTTTTCTTTTTCAAGGTATTAGTTGTATGGGATGAATCTGCTGAGAAAGTGAGAAACTACAGAATCTTTGAAAAGGTTGGTATAAATGCTGTATATAAAAAGGGCTTCTGTTATATACACCTGTTCCCATTACCTCCAAACACCCTTCCATCTCCATCCCCACCCCTTATGCAAAGAGAAAAAAAGTAAAGCTAGGCCTGAACTGCAAAAATCAGATCTGGATTTAGAGCCTTAGATCTCAGATCTGAGCCTTTCACTTATGAAGATAGAAAGCCTGTAATGTTCAGATTCAAATATCTTCAGTAAAATCTTAGGGTGTTTGTATCCCTAGGTTTGGTTTGGATTTATCGTGTACGTGATATGAACTAGGTACACACATAAGTTTTACAAAAGAGTGGTCTGTTCATAGTTCTGTGGATGCTGGTTTTTGACCATGGGGATGTGGGCTTTTTTAGGTCCCATTGATTACAGATGTGTTTTCTATCCCTACAACAGGATTCAAAGTTTTACTTGGACTCAGAAACCATGTTCTGGAACATTGGAAGTTTGGTTGAGTACTACTGCACCCATGTCTTACCCAGCCATGACAGCTTGATTCTTAAATGTCCTTATGGTTACAGTGGACCAAGGTGACATGACCTGCAAAATTAACTCTCTTTAAGATCAAATATACTGTGGAAAAATGGGCACTCCGAGGGATAGTAGTTTTTCCCACTAGGAATTCCCATGCCACTGGGTTTGATTTCCTGAACTTTGCACACAAAGACTGTTTCTGCCATTTGTTCTCCCACTGCCTACAGACTTGCATTTAAGCATCTCTTTGATAAGTCCTTCCAAACTGGACCACTGGATTTCAGATCCTCATTACAACTCTTTCTGTGAAAGGGGCTGATCTGGTTATGCTGTAAAAGTATTACAAGACGTGCCCTTTGAGGAACTGCTGCTGCTACTTTCCTAATCATATTGATATGAAGTTGGAGGAAGGACCTGGCCAAAGAGGCATTGAGAACATAACTATTTGGAAAGGAGAACTTTTGAAAGAAAAGCACTGTCCATTTGTGACAGGGAATACTAATTTTCTGACTCGGGTATTGCTCCTTGAGTCGCAACCGGTGCTTGACTGAGATTTTGTTATAGTTTATAATTAATCTGTAAATAACAAGGATGCTTATGGCAATAACGTGGTTCAATGTGGATACAGAAAGTGAGCCTTGTAAGCCCATGTCTTACAGAAGGCCCTTCTCTAACTCCTGCAGTCAGCTTCCCACTGCCTGCACGGGTATGCTCAGTTCTGATGGTGGGTATGGAATTTTACATATTTCTTACTGATAACTCCTCTGGACAATTGTGGACCATTATTAAGTTTGCACCACTGGAAACCCTATTGGCTAGTTCTCAATTGGAAAGATAGGTGCTATAAAATAACTTTTAAATGAATGTATGAAATTAAGAAGGAGGGTATGGGCTGAAGTGGAGAATAATTTGCAGAATAACCCAGACCGAGATTTACAGACTTCTCCCATATCAACATCAAAGACAATAGGAAAAATGGTAAATAATACATAAAAGTCCCATTAAATCACTTGGATGAAGTTGTCAGCACATCAAATTTTGTATCTGTAAAGTACCATTATACTTTGTGAAAATCATACATTGTCCTTTCTATTGGTTTTAACATGGCTGTTCAGTTTAGAATCCTTGTATACAATAACATATTTTATTACTAATGATCCCAAACCTACAATACTCTTTGCCAGTTAAGATGAAACTGCAGCATTAACAGCCCTATTAATAATAGGTGTATATAATTCTTGTTGACGTATGTTTGTATGATTTTAGAAAAATCCTAAAGCCCAGGTCATTTCCGCATAACTGACTTTTGTAGGGTATGTTGTTTAACCAGAGGGAAGAGAAAAACACCTACTTTAATGTCCTGTATTTCTTAACTTTTGTGTCTCGAGTACTGTAATTATTGTGCTCAAACTCTGTAAAAGGAGAATAGAAATAATTTAAATTTGTACGATAAAGTTTCTGAATCCAGACTGGTGAATAATCCCTCCTGCATTTAGCTTTTATATCTTTATGAACACCAAGTTTTCTATGACACTGTATTTAATATATTTCATGCATTTAACAAAAGTGTTACATGATTTTCTATTTATAAAAATAATAAAAAGGGAGCCACATTAGCTATTACCTGTGATTGAATTGTCCTGTAGTAAAAAGAAATGTGATCTTTGCACTAGACTTGGAGCCAGAATACTTGGATTTTGACATAGTGTATGGTTTTAGGTAAATGACAAACTCTGTACCGACCTTAAAGGAGTGTTGTGAGAATAAACTAAAGTGCTTGGAAAATGTAAAGCGCTATGCAAACATTTGATATCTTTTACTAGGTTAATATTTGTGAAGTTTTAATTGGAATCATCTGTGTTTCTCTGCTTCTTCTCTAATATGAAGAGCAGAGTGTGAAGCACGCTGTCAAGCATTTGCAAAAAAAATAATTAGAGCTGTTTCTATTCTTTCGAGAGAACTAACCTAAGGAGAGAGGATTGCTCAGAGGTCATCCAGGAAATTCTTATTACTTTCAATAACCAACTTTTTTTTAAAATAGATTTTAATCAAATGAATTCTTCCGGGTCTGGAAACAAATGACTGGCTCATACCAAACCATTGTTACTTACTTACAATATACTTCCAGGAAGAGGGCAGTTGAATTCTACTAGCATTTTGTTTATTTTCTCATAGAACTAACATTATTCATTACAAATGCCTTAAACTAAAAAAGTATTTGCATAATCTAGTATAATAAAATTACATAACACTGTTTTGTATACTATGTGAAATTTGCACACATGTAAATATTCATTTTCTATGAATTACTGTTAGTTTCCTTGTGACAAATCTATGAATGTATACATTTCTGAGGTAAATAAATGTTAAGGTGAACTCATGCCAACTGTGTAATTTCATTATCTACCATACACACTAAAAAGAAAACTTCTCTTTTTGTTGTGCTATATTTAAGTGGCATCTAATTCTTTACTTTTCAATGATATTAAAATCAATATTGTACATGGAAATATCTTTACATGGAAAAATCACCATTTCAGGAAATAATTGTGCATCAAGAACAGATTAGACAAACATCTGTCAGAGATGCTCTAGGCAAGAGCAGATCTAAGCATTTTGCAAGTACGAGTGGAAAACATTTTTAGCTAACTCCCCCTTTCCCTGTCTCCCTCTAGCTAGACAACAAAATATGACAAGCAAGTCAGCAAAGTAGAACAAATTAAAGTGGCACTCCCATAGTGTCTTAGAACCAGTCCTGAGTCTAGGTATATTTAATTCTGCCTTACTGCTGAAGTATGAAGTAGATGACCTCTTGCGGTCCCTTCCAACTTAATATTTGTCAATTTTGCGATCATGAAACTGCACCCTCTAGTGATGCCGATTGGCCTTCTACGACCCAGAAGGGGGAGGACTCCATAAGAACTCCTGGTCGGCAGTGCCACAGCAACCCAATCCGATTCACAGGAAGCAGAAAGGCAGGGCTGGAAGTTTAAAAGGAGGAGCAGCCACAGAGCAAGTCAGACACACTTTCCAAGCTCCCATGGAGGAAGGCCTGACTGCACCCTCCCTGCCCCCCAGAAGGGAGAAGTAGCCTGAGCAGCCAAAGCCACTGCTGGGCCTAGAGGACTGGGTTGGGCCACCTGGACTGCTGCTGGCCCAGAAGACTGGCCAGGGCAGCCAGGACACCTGAGGATGCAGAAGATTGGGCTGGGCCTCCTGGACCACTGAGTGACCCTGACCCAGAGCCCAGGGACACTCTGCTGACACCATTGTCCCCAACAGACCCCGAAGAGCAGAGGCTGACGCATTAGGCCCCCAGTGGGAATCAGGAAGCAGCCCAGGGATAGCAGACCCATTGTCGGCTGAGGACATGGAGGTCAACCAGGCAGTGTGTTGTGGTCAGGATCCCTGCTGACCCTATGACCTGGTTGGCATGTTGCAGCCAGGACCCCACTGACCCAGCAGTGGCAGCCAGCACTGCCACTGTTAGGGCCCTAAGCTAGGACGCAGTGGAGCAGATGGGCCTGCATCCCCCCTGCCACCCTTCACCTTGGGTGTCAGGTTCCCCCTGTCAGGGTAAAATCCCTGGTGCTTGTTGGCTTTCCACCGGAGCAAGGAGACCCAGCCCTGCTCTGCCTGCAGCCAGACCTGAGCCCCAAACTGTTGATACTGTTTGTGTTGCCCCACCCAGACCAAGGACCTGGGCTTATAAATTGCTGCTCAGCCTGCAGTCAGGCCTGAGCCCTTAACTGTTTACTGCCCTGCCCTGCCCAAGGGCCTGGGCCTATAGACTGCTGCTACAGCCTGCAGATAGGCTGAGACCCGAAGCTGTCTCTCGACTACTTGTTGCCCTGAACCAGGGTTGGACTTTGGAACTGCTGCTTGGCCACAGCATTAACCTGAGCCCCTAGACTCTGTACTGCCAGCCGTGAGCTGGAGCCAGGACATTCAGACTGCTATTTGGTCAGGTTATAGGCCGGAGCTCCTAATCTGTGGCAGGCTAAATAGGCCTCTGAACTGGTCGACATACTGTGTAGTGAAGCAGCTTGGCCTCCCTTCAGGCAGAGACCAATACAGACCCTATTGTGAGGTGTATCAAATATATATTAAGGAGAAAATCACTAAATATAGGAGCCTTAATGTAATTGAGAATCAGCCCAGCAAAGTTTAATGGAACCCTCTGTATGTAGAGATCATTTGATGTCCCTATGGGATCTCATAATCTATCCCATAAAGGTGCTGTAGCAGGAGATCCCAACAAGCTACAGATTCAGAGATTTGCCTAACATTGAGTCCCTAGCTAAGAGTATGTCACTGAAGACACTGTAAGCTTGAAAGCTTGTCTTTTTCAGAAACAGAAGTTAATGCAACAAGATGTCACCTTACCTTGTCCCTCTAATGCTTTGGCTGAAGTGAGGCAGTCTGTACAACAAGGATCTTGTCTAGATCAGTGTACTCAATGTGGTTTGTGGCCACTAGTCTTGCAGGTGGGCTGCAGGTTTGGACTTGGCCCCTCTGCCTCCTGCCAGCTTCCTGCTGCAGTGGGCGGGAGGAGGGGGTAGGGGAGAGCAGCATGGGCAAGATCTGGCTTGCAGGGGAATGAAGTGGCTCTGCATGCTGCCACTCGCCTTCCCTCTGGGTGGGGGAACAGCTGCGTAGGAAACTGCTTGCCTAGAGGAATCCTGGCCAATGGGAGCAGCAGGGGGCGGTGCCCGGGAAAAGAAGGGGGCAGATAAATGCACTGGATTTGTGGGTAGTGCAGTGTGTCTGCAGCAGGTGACAGAGATGGAGGACCACAATGTAAGAGACAATATCAGTCACCATGTTTTGCAACTGTATACTGCTTCCATTTTAGCCTGCTAATTCATGAATGTTCACTTCTAGTTTCAAATACTATCAGGTGGAAGCTATAAATGTAGAGACATTGATGATTAAAATATTTACAACTAGCTTTGTGTCCTCAAGTCTATACAAAGGAAGCGTGTAAATGCACCCCCTTGATCCCCCACGTA